AGAGGAATGGAGCATACTGGATACCTAAATAAGAGTGCTGCTGGACACCTGAATAAGGGTCATATGTCTGGGAGGAGGAAATATGGCTTAGCTAAAGAGAAGTCTTACCTTACATATATTTCGGAGCTCTTCAGAGACACCCAACAAGGAAATCGATAAGTGAGTGCCAGTTCATATAACCTACCTGGATTTCCAAAAGACATTCTGCAAGGCACCTCATCAAAGGATTTTAAGGACACTGAGAAGCCTTGAGATAGGAGAGAAGTAATTATGAACAGTCAGGTCTCAAAGAGAAAGAAGGTCATCAGACGAGCTTCATATTCAGTGCCTTTTCTATAGCTCAATATGGTTCAACTTGCAGTGGGTAGGAAAGAAGCCTGTTAGTCAGAAATTGCCTTGTTGATTCTCTTAGCATGTTTTAAGACTGTCTTTCTACAAGAGCTTATTCTGCCAAATTAGCCTATGCAGAGTATTTGCTAAATGTATACAGAGAAGAAGCGTGGAGTAGCTAGCATGCTGTACATTCATCTCTTACTGCATATCCTGAGTTCTCCATTGAAGACAAACCCAAATTTACAGCAAACCGCATCGTTACTATGATTTTGAGTACAGTACATTTCTGTACTGTGCCTGGTGTTCTTCTTCCAGTTTTACCACCCGCTCCCCCAGCACAGTGTATGAGAGGCTGTGGATACAAGTTGCAGCAAGGGCAATTCTAGCTGGATAAAAGGAAAAAATGTTGACCGTAAGAGTGTTTTAAGTCCAGAGAGGCTGTGGCTTCTCCATCTCTGAGATATTCAAAGGTATCCTTTGAATACCTGAGCAACCTGATACAATTTTGAAGTTGGCCGTGCTTTGGGCACAGAGGTGTCCTAGATGAACTACAAAGGTTTCTTCCAACCTGAATTGTTCTGTGATTCTACAGTAATCAAAAAGAAAAAGTTTCTTTCTATTTTGTATGACTGTCTGCTAGGTTTGCCATGCATTTAAAGACAGGTGACAGTAGTTTTGACTGTTGTATTGGTACTATTCCAGAACCCACTAATAAAGTTAATTTTCTGCTATTTCAGAGCAAGTTAGTCTCAAGCACAAAAGCAGATATGCCTAAAATCCAGTGCTTGCTTTCAGGAATCTCTTTTCACTGTTGAAATGGATTTCCAAAATGTACTTACTTAGGCTCCTAAATGGAAATTCTCAGCTCTTCACAGCTTATGATAACGCCCTGAGACAAAAGAGGTTACAGAAATAGTGACACAGTGTGCTTTCCATCCATGTATCAGTTCTGAAGAAATTAATGCAAACACTTGAAAAATAGTAGATGTTCCACCACCAAAGTGCACAAGCCAGTGCACACAAGTGATTTTTAAATGGTTGGTTTTATTCACCAGTAACTCTCACTATTGTATTTATTTCATTGTGTTTGGTTATTTCTTTTCTTTTTTTTTAAGAAGCAACATAGCTTGTCCTTTCTTTACAAAAGAAATAAAAACAACAAAAAAACCCAAAACACAGAAAAAAACCCTCAAACAAACAAAAAAAACCAAAAGCACAAAATGGGCTCCAGAAAGTGTAAATAGATGGAGACTGGCAGCTTTGGCTAGTTTATTCCTTATTCATACTAATAATTTGTGTGTGTGTGTGTGTGTGTGTGTGTATCACATAATTATGTTATGGCAATATGCACCTGTAAAGCGCTTGCATCTCTTCTAGTATGAAAAATATCCTACTGTAAGGAATATATAACAGATGAGCAAGTGAATCTTATGTAGGATGAATATTTCATAGGCATCATCACATGCCTCACAAATATGTGTCTGTGCTTGCTCATTCAGTTTGTAGCCTGGCTTGTTGGCAAGTGCTGGATTGTTATCTGAATGAGTTTTTGACCAGCTGGTATTTCTCACGCAAGAGGATCTTCTCTACTTACCGCACCATCAGCACTCTAATTATTTCATGAGCTTTCTTATATTTTTATTTCTTCATCAATGCCTGAATAAAAATGCCAACTCACATAAACATCGGGTAAGTGATGGACTCAGAAATGTTCATCCAGGACAGACTTTTCAAGATCTCTGTCATCCAGAGGTTGTTTCTCCTGTGGATGTATTTGTTTTGAAGCTTAGGGAAGGTGAAGGGAAAAAGCCTCCCTGCCACAAGGATTCCTTTTTTGACTGCTGCTCTACAACATACATGGTTTCTGATGATCTGAGCTTGGTAACATTGATACAAAGTGCCCTGTGTGGCAGTCTAGTTTCTGGGGACCGATGTGTTTTCCTTTTTCCAGTTATTCAGCTAAATGAATTGGTTTCTGGTTGGTCACAAATACCTGCTGACTCGGGGAGTCATCCCTTCTTTCTTAGGGCTCCTTCACTTCAATGATTTTGCTTTTTTCTTTGTTAGTCTTCCTAATTGTCTGATATAACTGCCCCAATTATTTTTAATGCACAGCATTTGGAACTGAAAATGAATTTCACTTAGGGATTTTTGCAAAATTCAGATTTCACAGTAAATGAGATTCAGAGGCCTCAGAAATGTCCCAAAACAACCCATCTTGAGAAGGATCCCTGAAGATGCACGTTGCTTTTGTTCCAGTCCATTTGAGTTCTTCTTCTGTATCACATAAATGAGTTGTGTTTAGCTACATGCAGCCAGTTCCTTCAAAAGAGAGAGCCTTGGGTGGTTGTATTATCAAACAAAAAAATCTTGGCAGAAACTTACATTCTTAACACAGGCAAATATTTTATACTCAAAGTATTGTCCTCCTTCAAAACACTTGTGCACAGCATAACAAAATTGCAGATTCCAAGAGTCTTTTCATTGCAATTTTAATTTAATTTAGAGTTTGCATGCCTAATAGTATTTTTAATATGCATTTCTGGAATTTGTGGTTTGAACTTTAGTCTTCTGAAAAATAATCAGTTTTATATAGGCACCATGTGTTTGGATCTAGGTTTATTTTGACTGAAGGAAATGATTTGTCAAGACATTTTCTCTTTAGTATTGCCATGAAAGCCTGTGTTTTCCAATTAATGCTCTTAAATTGGGTGTCCTTTCAGTGTGTCCAATGTTATGCATGCATGTTTATGATGAGTTTGCTGTCACTAGGAAAGACGTTAAGAAATAGAGGCTTTATTCAAGAGCAAGCTTCTGAAGTTCGAGTTCTTTACGTAAGTCTTGGGTCATTCAGAAGATTTGTGAGATGGAGTGGAGCTGTTTGCACTGGCAACAGGGTTAAGAAGAGCAAAGATCCATGAAAAGGAACAAAACAGTGATTCCTGTATTACCTTGAAGTGCCATAGCAGAGTGTTATGTCAAGTTTTATCTTCACCATCTTTGCGAGCAGTTATTTCTTACACCTGTGTCACTGCTTACGGCAATTATGGCATGAAATACTCTAATGTTTTGGCAAGTAGTAGCTCTACCTAACCTCCTTTGTAAGTAAATATTTAGATCTTATTTAAACTCCTCATGGCATTTGTAATAGGAATGGAATTTTTTTCATTTGAGGTTGACACTGTGTTATATGCAGATAGTAAGAGGTGAGTAGTCTGATGTGGTAAAGTGCATAAAGAAAGCCTTTGTAAGCTCTGGTGTATCCATTTAATTGTTCTGTTTGTGTAAATGGAAAATTGCTCAATATCACCCCAGAATTGCAGGTCAGGCTACTGAATTGTAGCATGTATAGCTATCTGCACCATCAGATCAATAAAGATGTCTGGCAAAGAGGGTGTGATTAAAAGAATAAACACTCAGTGCACAAACACTCAGCTCACTGATACATCTCTGGAAGCTTTTTATACTCCTGAGGAGCTGAGAAGCATTGAATAGGGAGCCCTGTGTAATAAAAGGCCAGCTGGCCTGGAGAGAGAGCACACCATCCCCTGTGCTTGCTTCAAAGGGAAGAGCCTGTTCTGAAGGTTGTCCATCAGGAAGCCTGACGGAGCTGCAGGATGAAAACTGCTCAGAGATTAAATGTAGGGCAGCCACAACAAGGAAGAGAAGAAGAGCCATACCCTGAGGAGCTGGAGCCGCAGGGATCAAAGATCGCTGCAATGATGGTGAAAGCAAAGGAACTGCACTCTGCCCAAACACAGGCTGATGACCACTTTAATCCTGTCGAGTGAATGCTGTCAAAAACCTACGCTTGTGGAAGGAGGGGGGGCAGAGAGTCTAAAAAGGAGCAAATTAAACTGTTCTGTCAGTTTTCAGAGCCAAACATTTGGAGTGTTTCATGCTCAAAAGTGAAGACAAGAGCAGTTGCATGGGCTCTGTTGACATCACTCCCAAAGACTGGAGCAAGGTGTTGTCAGGGGAGTGTGTTTTATCAAGAAAGAAAGAGTTTGCTAAGTAACAGCAAAGTTCTAAGACTTCTAGAAGTGGTTAAGAGGAAAGTGATGTAAAGCATCACCTTCACATTTAAAATTAAAACGTGGTTTTATAAAGTTCTAAACTGAAGTGGAATGTTTGTGCCATATAGTGATAATTGGCAAAAAAAGAAACAAGTATTTTGTTTGAGCTAAAGTTTCTTTATGTTAGTTACAACCCAGTCAAAGAAGTTTTGAAAAATCTGAAGTGAAACAAGCTAGAACTGATTTTATACTGTAATGAACCCAACTTATTTTCATTGGATGAGTTGTAAAGGATTATTTGCTGGATTGGTGAAAACATATTACTCATGATTCTTTCTATTGCTGACCTCAGGCAGGGATTCTAGCATGTTTAGGCTGGACTCCTTACACCTACTCTCATTCCTTAAAGCCTCATGTGTATGTGTACCCAAACTGTGCATCCACCCAAGTGCTCTCGTCCCACTCTGGGAAAGGGAGGAAAGACATGAAGAAGGAAGGGAAGGGAAGCCCTCAGAGCTCATGAAAAACTCCTCTAGGTCTCAGTGGAAGCCATGGAGATGCCACTTCCCTGGAAACAGTTCATTAGTTTTAGCTGGGCATCATCCCCATTGATTTCCCTCTCAGCTGCTATGGAGACCAGCATGCCATAAATGTTTGTGTCTGAGCTTCCTCATGAGTCTTCCTCCAGCAGCTCAGGGAGCCAATCACTACCAGACTATAGGTTTGGAGCTGGACTGAGCAACTATAAATAATGTTTTCCTTTATTTTACAGGTGAATCGCCTTCACCCTGGTGATCATCCTCTTCTGATCATCTTTATGGTTGGTGGAGTGACAGTATCCGAGGTCAAAATGGTGAAGGATCTGGTAGCAGCACGCAAACCTGGTGCCCAGGTAAAAACAGTTCTAAACGTTCAGATCCTGTCTGAAGAAAGACTAATAAAATTCATCAGGTAATGTTCCCTATAGCACTAATACCAAGCCTACATGAAGTCACAGCCACACGGACAGGAATGCTGTTAGGATTTTGCTGTGAAACACCTGTAGGAACAAGTGTTCAGGCACCAAGGGTCTGTTTTTCACATATTAGTCAGCAATAAAAGTTCAAACTCAGTTTGGAGAGTTCAGACCAAATTGGCATTATTCTGAATGAACTTTCATCATGTCTCAAAAGATTCATTTCTTGGTATTCTTTATAAACAGAAACACTTGCTCTGTCAGTACATCTACAGGACATAGTGCAGGGATGCTCAGAAGGAACCTGCCAAGGGTCTGAGTATCACCTACTGATGTATCAGTTGTGATCCTCCAGACAAGTCAATTAACATTGCTGAGGAGCAAGATAAATTAGCCCAGATACAGCTGTACTGTTTCTGGGCCAGGCCAGGTATCTCAGATTGATACCTGATACCTAAAGTAGCCTGAAGCAGGTGATATGGAGAAAGCCCCAGGTCTGTGTGGCTCTTGGGTTCCCTGCTGGACTCCTGGAAGAAGTATGGCTCCTGCAGTGAAGCTTCAATAGCGTCCATGCAGCTGGTGCTTGCCTCTTCTGCTTTCTGGCAGCAGAATTTGGCTACAGCAGCTGTCATCTGATGGAGTGGAGAAGGAGAGGAGGAGGATTGATGTGCTCTGATGGCATCTGAGATGTTAAAAATCATTGTTAATTGTGGAGGAGCAATCCGGTATCTGCTGAGTAGTGCAGATATGCAGGGTAATCCAAAAACTGCAAAGAAGGGCTGTGTAACTAGCTGCATCGTAAACATAAGCCTAGTTTCCAAGGTGGCTTGTAAACATCTTGTTTTCAATTCCTATGAAATGTAGTTCTGATTAGTGAGAAATCATTAGCAAAATGGAGCCAGCCAAAAGCTGAGCAGCCCCTGGGTTTAACATGTGTTTTCCACGTTTTAGTTGTCTTTGCAATGCAGTCTCAAGCAGTATTTTGTAAGATATAGTGCCATTTTTTGCCATGTTTTTTTGATCTGGTAACACGTTTCTCTCCAATTAGCCTATTGCTAATCTCCTCAAACAGTGAATAGAATTCTTTCCCCTCTTGGAGGGGGATTGAGTTGTGACACACTGATGGACAAGTTAATCCACACCCGAAATGTATTAATACACCCTGAAAGATAAGCAGAGGGTTAACACGTGAGTTGGTTGAGAACTATGCAGAGAGATTTTCGACTGGCTTTCTAGAGGGACTTGAGGCTTGACAGTGGTGACATGGGATCTGGTGTTGCTTTGCTTGGGCTTAACCCCGGCAGCAGGTCACCCTCTGAGGCAGATTCCTAAAGAATTTTAAGCTTTTACTGCATCTTGCCCTTTGTCCAAATGTGCTGTTAGAGGTGAAAGGACTTTCAGGGGCGAGGCGAGAGGAGGAAGAGAAAGAAGAAAAGAAGCAGTTGTGCAAGTCTCTCATGTAAAAAAAGTTCATGAGTTTGCTGGATTTACTGGGATTTCTGCACTATGGCTGTGAATATATGCCACCTGTTTGGGATTATTCCCTTTTCAAAAAGCCAGGCATTTGTCTAACTTGAGCCAGCGTTTCACAGAGCCTTTTTGTGGTGTTCAGGCAATCAGGTTTGGGCATTGGGGGAACACTGGCCTCCCAAATCCCTTCCAGCCAAACAAAGCACTGACATTTATACTAATTATTGGCTCTTGGAGAAATGGAGAGACATGTGGGTGCAAAAAGTAAAGAATTGAGGAAAGTAACCAGAAAACTGACAGGACGCCCTGATTACTTCAGCAGTTGTTTGGAATTGAGGCAAATGACATTTAAATGTGAAGTAGGAGACACGTTTCCATCCACAGAACTGCTCTGCATCCAATGTGAATGGCACAAAGGAATACAGTGTTTCCTACGCATCATTTGGTTTTGGATGGTGGTGTATAGCTCCCCTAACCTAGTGAGACATATCCTGCTGTAAAAGGAAGAAATTACCTTTTTTCCACTTTAATCAAGAGAGTGAAAAAGGGGAAAGAGCACGATTGGATGTTTCACCCTCCCTCCCCTCAACATGCACAACCATCTCTGTGATTGTGGCTGAGGCATGCAGACAGATAACCCCCTCCAGATGCACCATCAGAGGTTGGCTGCATCCTTCCCTGCCCCCGGGTTGGGGGCTCCTGGCTCCTTGACTGCCATCGGGAGAGGCAGCCCTTTCAGGTGAAGCATCAAAGACTCTGTATTGAACAAGGACGTCTGCAAAGGAGATACACTGTCCTGAGACCTGCCTGGAGAAGGGATGGATATTACTTATCTGGGCAGTTACCCCTTCTCTGTAAAAGTGAAGGAACAAATATTCAAATTTATCCCTCCCCGTGAGCCCTCAGAGACACTGGGGGGAAAGGAGGGAAGTCCCACTGTATCTCACTGCATCCTTTCTCGGACATTAAAGTTGCAGCTCTCATTTTTTTCTCTGGGCTTGCTGTTAGTTGCACAGATCCCCTCAGGGTTCAGTGGTGGGACTCCAAGAAGAAATTGCTTTTATCTGGCAGTGGCTATTGTTGATGTTTGGCTTGTACACCCAAAAAACTTTTGTAACATGTCCCCTCATATTTTTCCAAATTAAGCTGCATGATAACGAGATGAGCACATAGTGTGCTATAGTCTGATTCTCACGTAACATAAGACAGCGTCAGCCCTTGGCATACGCAAATTACAGAGTTTTTCAGCTATAGGAAGGAGAAGAGATAATCAGTGTCAGTTTGCTGCAGATTGTGTGGGAGGACAAGGGAAGGGGAGGAGTGAGGGGTAGATTACCATCAGTACAGAAGGGATCTGTAGTAACTTAACTCCAGATGCCTTTCATTATTTAAAGTGAAAAGATGAAAGAAAGAACAACAAAAAAAGTTGAAATGCAGCACTGCCACACATTTAAGCTGTGCAATGAAGAGCACAAGCGGTTTGATCACTACTGCAGGAAATGGACCCACAGGCATACCCCGTTGTTCATGCTTGTGCTTCCTCTCCTCAGGTTTGCACTGTAGAAGCCAATTCGTGTTGAAATGGGCTAGGAAGATAAATCTGTCCCCACATCCCTGCCTGCAGTCCTGACCCTACAGACACTACTGAACTCGGGGCTTTGTAAGAGCAGTGTCCTACGACTTTGACCCTGAGCATATGTTTGCTCCTTGCTGATAGCTTTGCCCTGCAGAGGAACCTTTGTGCTAGGCACCTGCATTCTGGCTTTCACTTTAAAAAGCCAGATACCTGCATCTGTCATGGTTGTAGTAAGCAATGGTTTCATTCATCATACCTGTCTTGGATTAAATATTTGAACAAACAAAAGCGATAGCATCCCGACAGTGGCCAAGGCTGAGCTTTAGTCCTGATGTGCAGAACAGCCTGTGCCTGGCCTGAAGAGATATTTCTGAACAGGGACTGTGGCTCTCTGCAGCAGCCTGGCAGCACTTGTCTAGTGCTTGTCTCACCGTCAACTGGGAGGAAACAGCCATCACTCAAACTAAAAACTAAAAAACTAAAAAGCACTAAAAAATGCGCTATAGGGGAGGAAACCCCTGCTTCATCAGCTGGTGCCTCCAGTAAACACAGTGGCAGTCACAACAAATCACCGGCTAAGATGTGGGTAGCAATGAGTCAAAGCACATATTCATTAAGAGTACAATGCTACCAGTTATTATGCTACTTAAAGTGATTTAACGACAGTTATTAGTGAGCAGAGAGTTTCACTAGGTAAGCTGTATCTCCCTGTCAGTAAACACCAGAAACACACAGCCTGTCTAGCGCTGGGTGAAGCAAAGAATTCATATCCACGGCTCATTAGTACTGTGATCAGTCTCACTCCTCTTAATTTAGACTTGTTTCTTGTCCCCTTTTCTTTCAGGTAATTGTGCTCTCCTCTGCACTGCTGACACCACACAGTGCTGTTGAGTTGTTGTTTGCCACAGACCATCTCAAGCCTGACACCAGTATTTGACGGGCAATGATCTGTGGAGAAGATGAGTGAGTGCCTCGGCTGGAAACATCAACTCCCTGGTCTGTCCCTCTTTCCCATAGCCTTCCAAAAAACGACACAACCCCCGCTGCAGTTATGGCTCCAGCTGAAACAGCTGGGTATCTGGCTGCAGAGGAACATGTGCAGCTCACAGGCAGCTCATCAAAATGATCCAGTTGTCCAGTGACAACTCACCCCTTCTTAATGATAACACTGCACAGTGCTGAATCACTCCAGCCCTGCTCTGTGCAGCAAGGGTGATCACTTGTAATAATTCCCTAGAAAAGGAGCAGCTGAGGACCAGGCAATGCTGAATTTGCACTCCCCGAACAGTACTTTTTTTCCTCTGAGGATTCCTGATGGTTTTGCTGGGGTTGCTTCTGCTGGGAAATATGCTGAGGGAGTGAAAGGCTAGAAAAAAACCACCCTCTCTGTCGTGCTGCCTTGCGAAGTGTGTGCCTTGTACAGCATTAAACAGCCTCTGCTCCATCTCTCACCCCGAAGGCCACGGAGCACAGCCCTGATGTAGCTGGCAGAGTAGCCCGCAGTCCAGTGATGCTCTCCCGGCCGGACTGCTAGAGGCAGAGAAGCAGAGAGCCAGGCTCAAGGGTTGGGTTGCATGGCTGCTCCTCTCTCAGCTTCCCCTTTCCTGCTCCAGTTTCTCCACCCACAGTCCCAGGAGAAGAGACTGTTTCTGATGGCACACATCTCTGTGGGTTTACGCAGGAAGACATATGGGCTGTGATGGTTTGATGATAACCCTGGAAGAATCCTCCCCTCAACATGCCTTTAAAAAAGAAAAGGGAAAAGCAAAAAAAGCACGATCCTATTTTCAAGAGACCACAGCGACAGATTCTTTCTTGAGCTGGATTTCTGAACAGCATGATTAGAGAACAGCTCTTATTTTTAATTTATGATCATGAAAGAGCCGCTATCAAATTCAGTTATATAATTTTTCTTTATGAAACTTAGCTACAATCTGTGATTGAAAAAGCAGAAGCCAATAGAGATTGTGATTGCATACAGTACCAAAACTTCCAAATTGCAACATAAAATGGTGGAGCTCTAAAGCTGTGTCCTCTTGCTTCATCCAAGGGATACTAAGACTACAGCTTACACTGAGATGAGAATGTGAAATTATAAGTGATGTTCACGCTATCATAGCATTCTTTATTATGCAAAAGGAGTAGATTAAATGGGAAGTAGCGTTTTAACCTTTGTTCACTAGCTAGCGCAAGTTCTCTTAAATGTTTATAATGGTCTTCAGAAAAGGGTGCCTTTTGATTTAAATTGACTTCTGAGTGGGAAGGAAACAATGGACCGATTATAAAGCATGGACAATGTTGCCTCTATGGAAGAGAAATTCATGACTATAGAATGGAACTTTGTGCTATAAAAAAATGAGAAATATTATGAGATTGCAATGCTAAAAGCTCAAGAAATAGTTTGAACAGAGCAACTGGAAAGCAAATAGCCAGTCACTTGATTTCTTTTCTGTCCTTCCATACTGTTTAATCTTAGAATATGGTCGTTCTGTAAATTCTGTAATCAATAAAGCAATGCCTTTATAATGCCAAACCTCATCCGTCTTCTCTCCTAGTATGCAGGGCTACACATGCTAAGACTGTGTATTCCTGCAACCCTTTTTTCTTTTGCATTATTGCCCCTAAGAGCCTAGACCTTCTGTCCTGGGAGGTGTCCTAGAAGAGTTTCTACACCCTGCTGGTAGCAAAAAAGGCTCTCCTATGTCCAGTGGCCATTGCTGGTCAGTGAGCTCAGGTACTCACACTTCTGAGATGATGCCACTTTCCTGGCAGGAGGCTGGCAGCTGTGGTCTTCTCTCCCTCACCTTTCTTCCATCAGATGCTCTCAGGTCTCTGGCTTGGCCATCTAAGACCATACTGTATAGGGTAGCAAGAAGGTGAGGTGAGTTTAAGCAGATACTGGTGCTCTTGCAGTTCTTATGGGTCAAGTAGTTCCTCTGACTGAGGCAGAGACCAGTTTTCCAGGCACACACACTTTGGAGGAATCTTTTCAGCCACTGGGGCCACAGCTGTGGCAATGGATGCTGGGACTCAGGCACCATCTCTTACTCAAGTAACTGAGGAGATGAAAGAAGATTGCCACAAAAGTCTGTTCCTCTTCTAGACCAAGACTGGAGTAGAGTCTTTCCAGTGGCCCTAATGTAATAGTTAGCTCGTTATTTGTAGGAAATAGCTGTAGTAGCTACACATAGCCTGTGCTCAGCGAAAAGGCCAGAGGAGTGAGAAATCTTCTGCCAGTCACATATGAGTATGAACAGCACAGAAGAGACTTTTCTTGGGCAGGTGCAGAACCACAGCACAGTGTCTAAGCCCTCTACTTGTGACACTAAGCAATACTCAAAAGGCAGGAGAAGGAGAAAGCACAAATCCACCCCTGGCAAATGGGTTTACTACTCTATGACTAAGCTAAACAGTAATCAGCTTAGACTGGAAAGCCAAGCTCAGTTTTGTTTGCAAGTCTAGTCCTCAGTCACTTGGCTAGCTCATGGTCAACGAGATCAGCAGCAGCAGGACCTCTTCAGGGGTTCCCTGCACCAGATGAGCCTGTGTGGCAGGCACCCCAGTTCCAGCACAAACATTGTCCTCCAGTAGGCTCCGAGTAAAGCTGCTTTAAACACGAATAATCAAATTGCAAGTCCTTCCTTGTGATACAGCTCAATACATAGAACTTTTTTTAAAGGTGACAGTCACTTAAAAGATTCTGCCTCTGCCTCACTCCAGTTCCTCTCCAAAAGAATTTCTTAAAAGGAAGTTGTAAAGCCATTGTGAAAGCTCTCCCCCCTGTGGTTTATGCTAATAAAGCAACAGTATAGAGGCAGGAAAGGCCTTCTGACTGCTTCAGGAAGGTATGTTAACTGCCTTGAGAAAACTATTGCTTTGCTTCAACGTTTCACTGGTTATTGCCTATTGTTTCTCACCCAGGAAGAACACATAAGAAAACATGCCATTCAAAAATTTAATGTTGAACCAGGCAGTAAGAATGAAAAGTCCACTCCCTAGGAGAAGTAACTGTACACAAAATAAATAAGTTACAGTTTAAACAAAAGCACAACTGGCTTTTTAAAGTGCATGTGTATAAGGCCCTTAGGCTGTGAACTCATTGGCTCAATGTAAAAAAACTTCCTATACATAAATTTGCCACATGTTTAAGGATGAAGAGGGACTGGCTCAGCTCAGAACAAACCCCCAGCTTCATTGCCTAGAGCCAGTCGTGCTTCACACCAGGCTGAACCACAGCCACCTCCCCTCTGTGCCTATTGCACACAGGAGAGTGGGGGAGAAAGAAGCATCTTAGCTGTGCAGCTATGATGGACTGTCACTGTAGCTCCACACTCAGTCCTCAAAAGCTCCACACTGGAACACTTAGTCTGGACAGTATTTTTTTTTTCAGACAGTAAAAACCCCTCAAGTTAGTTATAATTAGATATGTTTACACCCTGCAGACAATAGTTTTTGCATACAAAGTCTGGTCAAGTTATCAGCAGTAACATCACTAGTAAAAAAAAATACCATTGTTTACAGTCTTGATACCCAGTCATGTCCACTTATTTTACATTTTTTTTACAGAATGTTTGCTTATTTGTTTTGAAATACATGGGAAATAAACAGTTCTACTGTGCAGTAACATTAATCAGATACATCATGCTGTCCTTCATCCAAATGAAAACAAGACTCAAGTGGTTACTTCTGACAGCAAACTGCAGCTCAGGGTGTTTCCCTGCTCAAGTATGAGAAGCTAAGAGTTACAGCTAAATGGTTGTTTCTGCAACAGTATTAAGTCAAATTTGTCTCATTGGAGAAAAGGCAAACTGAAGGCTGTTTCATTTACTGAAAAGTTCTTTTTCCAAATGAAAATACTTGTTCTACAAGTCACCTCCCAGAACCAATTCAAGAGTTTTTGGGTTTTTCCTTTTCCAATCTGCCACTGTTAGTTCTTTTTAAGCAACAGCCTGTTTCTACAGCCATGCAAAAGGCTACCTGAACCAATCCTCTTTCACAATGCCTTGGGCTCTAGATGTGCCAGTGTCAAACACCCTAGGTTTCAGTCTCGGGCTAAACGCTGGGAAGACCAAGGACTCTGCTGTCAAACAGAAGTAACAGTCCTCACTTTGGCAGACAAAGCTTGTTTAAACCTCCTTTTCAGATCCTGCATGTTGGGTGACTTTGGCCGTGGAATAAGAGAGGTCCTCCTCCTCTCTGGGGTGCTGGTTGTTTGCTGTTTACTGACTTCTTTACAGAGGAGATGGAAGGCATTGAAGACATCATTGTAGTTTTCACTGACTGATACTTCATAGAAAGTACAGCCCAGCATGTTGGCCAGCTGAAGTCCGTGCTGAGGCTCCACCTCTTTGATATGCAAGAGATCAGCTTTGTTTGCAACGATGACAACGGGGACCGCACTTCCTGGATGCAGCTGTCGAACGTGATGGTAAAGGTGACTGAGCAGTTCATAGCTCTTATAGTCTGTGATGGAGAAGACAATCACCAGGGCATCTGCCCAGCGAATGCATCTGTTCAGCTGCTCATTGCAATCCAGACTATGCTCATGGATCTGAAAAATGAATGGTCCCCAGTTAGATAGCTGAAGTCATAAAAGATTAAAGGAACCTGTCTGTAAAGGTCTGTAAAGCCAAATACCATTTTACAGCTTCAGACATATATATCTGCATTTCACATTGTAAGTACAAACTTAATCTGAGCATGGCGAATAAATGCATATGTTGATTCAGCTGCAAAAAGCTGGAATTTAACACTGAAGTTTGCTATACTGAAATGGAAAATTGACCTGAGTAGTTCTGCATGCAGAGAAAGACTTTGTAGTCCCACAGAATGGGAAATTAACTGGCTAGACAGTAAGTCTGGGGAAGCAAAGATATGAGCTGGAGGCATTTAGACCTGGAGCATTGCCCAGTTCAAAAAGGAAACAATCCAGCATTA